GCTCAAGGTTTTCCAGAGCTCAGCATTCAAGCCAAGCCAGAAATACCCATAGGGATGTCTCTACCACCAAGTGTATTTTTGCCATTCTGACCCAGGCAGTTAAAAGCAAAGCCAAAATAAGGCAATATTTAAAACACACACACAATTTTAAAAGCTCAATGCTTCTACTTTGTTATTTAAATTGCACCCATCCCTAGCTGTGCATCATTACAGCAAGATGCTCTGTCAGAACATAAGCTGCTCAAACTGAGAATGGTGAGAACCTGAGCTTTGACAAGGAAATAACATCAGCCCTGAGTTGGGTAGGGAAAAAGGTACACGCCATATTCTGATAGACACAGATTCATCATAGGCCGGGTTCCAAGTGGATTTGGAAATGGACTGTGCCTATTTGCCAAAGCTTTTGGTTTCAGATTTTATTTGGTTATTACACCATGATATGAATCAATCGACTTAGCTTTACTGCCAAAGCTGCCGTTGAGCAGGTTTCTATTCTGTATCACAAATGCACAATGACAGTGCACTGTAAAAATCCACTGTTGTAGAGCATTGGTCTTGCTAACTAAGCTAGACTCGTACAACGTTCAACACAATGTTTTCGGAAAGTACACAGTAATGGCAGTTTGTTTATGTTACTGTACAGTCGGTCTCACACAAACATGTGCATGCACACACTCAAGCTTTTTTCCAGTAAACTGTTTACAGCTAACTACAGGTTGAAACTCTTTAGTCCGACATATTCTGGTCTGGCATTATCTGTGGTGAGAATGATTTTAGTTACCCAGTAGTCCACCTATCATGGGTGTGGCCATCAAAAACCCAGAAAGATTGGCTGATCACATAGAAAATTACTGAGCCCGAGTTCTTTTGCTCCAGGATCTCTGTCTACCTGCTCTGAATATCACTGCTGCTCAAGTCCTTCTGGTCCCCATTAGATAGCTCCTAGCTCTGGCACAGACAGGCAGTAGGTGGACCACACCTCAGAGTAGCTGACAGAGGAAGCAGATGACCAGTGGGTTCCCAGAAGGATCTGTACTGGGCAGACCCATTTCCAGGGGGCAAGAGGGGCTCCAAACAACCCCCTCTCCACCTCAGGCCCCATTCTCCCCCTAAGTGCCCCTGCTCCACCCTGCACACCCCATGCCACCCTTCCCTTAAGCCCTGCTCTGTCCCAGCCCTGCTCCTCTCTTCACCCCCATTGCACTCCTTCCCCAAAGCCCTCTCCCCCGAATGATACAACCCAGGTAGTTACCAAGGGGCCTGGCATGGGGCAGTAGCAGAGGACAGACCCCTGCACTCAGCAAACCCACTGTGCTCTGCTCTCCTGAGCCCACAGCACTCGGGGAGTGGCGCTGGCTGTGGTTGGGTCATTTGGTTTCCCACTGCCAGAGAAGCAGAGCAACTCGGCTGGGAGATGGTGGTGGAGTGGAGCAGGCTTCTGAGCGTGTTGCTCCTCTTCCTGTGGCTCCCACCACTGGGGTGAATGCACGTGGGCCCAATCCCTGCTGCTGGCTCCAGACCCCCTAGGTAATCCCCCAGGTCGCTCTGGCCCCTGCAGGCTACCTCCATATGGGGGAGTGTCTCATCCATGGGACAATAGGAGGAGCTGCCACAGGACCCTCAAAGTGACTGCCCTGAAGTGTCCGATGGATGGGATCGCTCTGGTACTGGGACTTGCTCGCAATGCACGTGGGCCCAATCCCTGCTGCTGGCTCCAGACCCCCTAGGTAATCCCCCAGGTCGCTCTGGCCCCTGCAGGCTACCTCCATATGGGGGAGTGTCTCATCCATGGGACAATAGGAGGAGCTGCCACAGGACCCTCAAAGTGACTGCCCTGAAGTGTCCGATGGATGGGATCGCTCTGGTACTGGGACTTGCTCGCTTCAACATATTCACTGTTAATCTAGAACGAGAGAGGAACAGACAGTTTGAAGAGGATCCAAAGATGCTCAAAAATGTGAAGTCCAAGAAAGAGCTCCACAGGGATCTCACAAACCCGGGAGCTGGGACCAAAATGGCATTGAGCAGTACAAAGTAATGCTCATGGGAAAGGATAATCCCAGAGATACAGATGCACTGATGGGTTATGAGATCTTGGAGTCACCATAGGTAATTCTTTGAAAGCTGCTACTCCTTGTGGAGCAGCAATCAGCACAGAATGCAGCCGGGCAGCTGCGACTGGCTCAGCAGGGCTCCGGCCCGTAACTTGCTGGCCGCGGGTGGCTCCCCGCCCAGCTACCCCCTGGGCCACTTCTCGTCCCCCCCTTCCCCGGTACCTGTAGTTCCGGCAGATCCGTCGTGGAGTCGAGGTCGGTGTCGTCCCAGCAGGGTCCGGGCGGCCCGGTCGAGGGGTCGGAGCTCTGTAGCATCCCGTGGGCTCGTCCGGCCCCGGCGTTCCAGTACCCAGCGGGGGTCCAGTCGGTCTAGTGGTTCGGGCCAGTCCTCTGGGTCCTTGGGTTGTTCTGCTGGCTGGCGTGGCAAGGCCTCAGTAGTCCCGGCAGGGAAGCCTTGGCAGGCCTCCAGGGAGGTGGCTGAGAACGGCCTAGCCCAGGTCTTAGCCTCCCGAGGCAGGAGCTCTGGACCAGCCTCCAGCTCCCTCGGAGGCTGGGCCCTGACTGAGCTCCCAGGCAGCCTTCTTATAGTCCTAGTCCCGCCCTTTGACTTCCGGTCAGGTGAGGGGGCGGGGCTAGGCTGGGCCCAAAATGGCTCCCAGAGGGGTTCCTCCGCCTCCGGCTCAGTGGGTGGCCATTCCACCCCACTACAGTCCTGCAAAATGGACAAAGGGCAAATTTTAAAATTTGAAGCAAGAAAGCTTGGCAGAGTTTTCCACTAGTCACCAAACTAGGCACAAGGCTGTATCCACTGTGGGATTATAGCACATTTCAACCAAGCTGGAAAGCCAACATGATTTTAGTCATTGCAGAAGAGGAAAAAATATCGCCATCCAACAGTTCTGTGAAATGATCTGGAAGAGCCACACAGTCCAGTACGCCTGGCACGTCAGCAAGCTTGAATAACTCTTAATGTCTACACAGCACAGTGTTATGGTCACATCTTGTTAAACATGCAAATTACAAACAAAATTAAAAAGACATTCTATCGACCCGCCTACAGAAATGCAAACATCACTTGGCTTCTCCCCATTAACAACCTTCCTAGCTTGTTTAATTAGAGTTCTAGCAGATGCTAACAAAAACACCTGTCAAGCTTACAGTCACACTGGTAGGTCAGAGTCAGTATTGTCTGATTTCTGGATTCAAAAATAGAAGCAAGAGGAAGACCAAGGACAGAGCAATAAAGAGGGAAAAACAATAACAGAAAATGTAGAAATGGCAGAGGTGCTTAATGACTTCTTTGTTTCAGTTTTCTCCAAGAAGGTTAGTGATGATTGCTTGCCTAGCATAGTGACTGCTGGAGAAAATGAGGTAGATTTAAAGGTGAAAATAGGAAAACCACAAGTTAAAAATTACTTAGAGAAGCTAGATATTTCCAGTCACTGGGGCCTGATCAAATGCATCCTAGAATACTCAAGAGGTTGATAGAAGAAATATATAACCATTAGCTATCATTTTTGAAAAGTCACATAAGATGGGAAAGATTCCAGAAGACTGAAAAAGAGCAATATAGTGCCCTTCTATAAAAAAGCGAAATAAGGACAATCCAGGAAACTACAGACCAGTCATCTTAACTTCTGTGCCAGGAAAGATAAAAGAGCAAATAATTAAGGGAGCCATTTACAAATATCTGGAAGACAATAAAGCGATAAGTAACAGTGTACAGTTTGAATCTCATCTCAAAGCAAAATGCAAGTAATCAACTGTGTTTTAGCCTGACTTATGAACACTTTGAGTAAGCCTGTACCATGAAATTCCACTTAACTACCAAACTACTAGCTGAGGAGTATTCAACTATCCAGGGATTGGGCCTCCTCAGTCGCTCTGAGGCCCAGGTCCTGCAAATACTTAAACGTATTTTACACGCATGAGCTGCTCTATTCATTTCAGCGAAATGCCAGAACTGATGTTGTGAGATACAGAAAGGTCACCATTTAATTTACACACAACAGCAATACTTAGCCAGGCTTACAGAATCCAGGAACTAGGCCAGATAGTCTTGAGCCCCATCAACTGACTTATCTATTCACTGACCACTTTTATAAACACTGACACTGAACACTCTCAGAGTGGTACTGCTCATGTGAATGGAATTACACCTGTTCTTCAAGGTTTGCCAGCTCTGGTCCTATAGGACTGCCCACATGTGGAAAGTGAAACCCTTCTAAGTGTGTTTTAGGACCAAGCCTAGCCTACTAACTGCTTAAACATCCAATCCAACCACCCACAGGAGTCACTGGAGCTCTTCCATGGATTTCAATGGATATTGTATCAGACCCTCGGTTCTGAATATCTTTATATTAGGAAGCAGTGGACAAATTGGAGGGAAGTCAGACCAAAAAAAAAGTTATCAAGGACTTGGAAGGGTTGATATTGGAGGAAATATTAAAATAATTATTGCTATAGATGTATATGCAACCTAGTCAGAGAACCACTGGGGAAATATGCTAATCAAACAGTAAAGAAGAAATGTGTATGCAGGAAGTTAGAAGTTATAGAAGAAAAGTGAGCAAAGGAAATGTAGGCTCGATAGCACAAACTGCTTTCTAATGTGGAGGTCTGTAGGAATCTTCTGAAGCAAAGTGGCAGGAGAAAATAATTTACAAATGGGCAATGTGAATGAAAACATACTGTGAGAAACAACCTGGATCGGAGACAGAGAGGAAACGACTCCCCCACCCCCCGTGTCTTATGTGTATGATTGTTTATCAGGAAATCAGGATGTCACTGTCAATATTCTATAAGGTTATGCATAGTGTTACTAGATCAAGCATGTTTATTAGCTCTCTCCAGGGATCCACTCATCCTTTGATACATGTGTTTAACTCCTATGTACAGGAGTTATCTGGGGTTCACCAAACAGGAAATAAACCATATCACAGTCACTGATCTTTAATTACTTTATTTTTCACAACAATAAAAAATAAATTAGTCATAAACAAAAATAGTTAAATTTTTCCATCCGAGAGAAAATGTATACAATATGAAAAGGATGCTGTACAATTCTGGTTCAGGTGCATTGCCAGGGATACAAATTCCTGAACTAGTCACAAAGTACTTTAACTTATATCCCCCCTTTAAATCCACTGAAGGACCTGACTAATTAGAAAATTGCAAAATGGTAACTATGGATTTACAGTATGACATAAGCTATACAATATATTATACAATTCTATGAAAAGTTGGGTTAGTATGATGAAAGTCCAGGACAAAAATATAGATGGCATATGTAAATAAATACACATCAAGTCCCTTTAATAAAAATCTGCATATTCTAAATAATTGAACTATTTTGGTGCAGTGGCTTGTTCTATAGACATAGCTCAGAATACATATTTCCTATAAACATCTTGTATTTACAAAGAACAAAAATAAGTTATAATAAAGTATATCCTTCTGCCCAGACAGATGACTGGGTTAAGGTGAACTATAAAGTAATTTTACATATATAAAGGAAGTTTTTATGCATTATTCAAATTGAGGCTTGATGATCTACACACTTAAGGCCCTAGTCCTTCAAGACATAGTGCTGGAGCTACAGGTGATGGGGGTGTTTCTGCACCCCCGGCTTGAAGTAGTTTCCATCATATACAATGGCTCTCAGCAACTCCACTATACAAATTGTTCCAGCACCCCTACTTCATGATGCCCCTAATGACTTCAGGGAGGGTCAGCAAGGGCACCTAGGTCTACCCATGGTGAGCTCATTGCAGGGTCAGTTCTGAAGAGACCCATGCAAAGCACCATGACAAAACAGACTAACAAAAGCAATGTTGGTAGAAAGGTCACTGGGGAAGTATTGAATGTTAAAGGAGATAATCAAGCCCCCAAAATAATGGGAGTTTTCATTTTCCAAACCATTACAATTCCAAGGAGCTTCCATTTAAAAATATTTAAGTAATAGCACTATAGATCCTTGTGTTTCATTACAAGTTGACCAGCCAAATTCAGAGCTAGTATTAGTGGATGCATTTTCTAATGAGATTGCAAATGCTTTCACCGGATCAGAATAATTGTATCTTACAATGCAAAGTAATTGGCCCTATTTAAAAACACTAAAGATGAAAAGTTAGCACTCCTCCCCCGCCACACACACTAATATATTCTGTAAGCCATGTTAGGAACAAAGGAAGTTTACTTTCAGCATTCACTGTTTGAAGTTCCCAATTAACTGTCAAATAGACTGATCACAAATCAATTTATAGAGAGGAGCCAAATGGCATTAAACACAGCTGTTCTATAAGAACCAAGTCCTGCAATTATTTTGATTTATTTTTTTGCTATTGACTCTATACCTGATTGCTCTAATGGAATTTTTAAAACAGTAGATGCTGTATGAGAGAATACTAGAACAATACACACTTTCATAATTGTGCAATTATAGGTACTCTGGGTTCATTGCCCAGGAATTCATTCAGTAGTTAGTTTAATAAAGCAAGCCACTAAGGGTTCAGGAGCTGGTTGAACTAGCAGGAGTCTGCTAATAACTAGTCTTATTTCTGATGCAGACTGATAAAAACCTATCTTGTTCCCTCATGCTATAAAACTAGTATTAATTTCTGCACCTGTGCCAGCTAGTCAGTTCAAAGGAAACAAAATCACTTAGCACTGCTCTGAACATGACAATTTCTTGCTGAGTAAGAAGGTATGGCAGTAGCTATTAGGCCCCCAAACCTCCTGAATATGAACAGTTCCACTGAACTTAGCCAAGTTGTGGTGATCTCTTCCACATCTGCCTTCTTTATGAACGTCTCTAAAATAATAGTAAGTGTTTTTCTACTTAAAAGAACCAAATCTTGGGTCTGTCCCACTTGGTCATGGAAATGGGATCATATAAACATTGGAAAACAACATGAATGCAAAACCCTGTTTATGCAACCTGATGTACTATGCCCCAAAGATAAATCAATCCCACTACATTAAGTGTAATTAATTGTATGTGTTTTGAAACCAGGGCTGGGTTGTGTGCTCTACACTCTCATTTTTGCATCACTCCTCAAACTCTGCCTCTCTCATGTAAGATCAGCAAAATGGGTTCTCTACAGATGTGTGAGAAGTCAGATGGGGGGCAGAAAACTTTTGCCTGCGCGCCCATGGTTGTATGCTGTCAGCAGTTTGCTTTATACTGACAATCCACATATTCCCCACATGCTCTGGTCTTCTATTTATCCCAGATCATGTGACCTTAAGAATTGAATGATGAGAAGTAATGTTTTTCTACTACGTATTAACACACTATACAAAAAGCTGGTATTCAAATTCATGAGCGTGGTTGTACACTTGCTTATGCTTGTTTTATACCTGTGTAACTCCATTGAGCGGATTAGCGCCATTTCTGACTTACTTCAATGATAGTGAAAGAATTAGGAATGATACATGGTTTCAGGCTAAACTGGTTCAAACACTTGTTATAGCTAAAATGCAGTAACTGCTTTAAACAAATAGTTTTAAAAGTGCACTTCATGTGACAATGTAATATTACTACAGATAATTTAGTCCTTCTATATCAGTGTGCAGAGGAAAGGAGAGTGGACGAGTGTATATCGAAGAAACATGCATCATTATTATAGTGAAACTTGCCAGTGACAAAAAGAAATTAATCTGGCCACAATCAGGGTCACTCCTTACTAAATGGTGTTTAATTAGGTGAGATTTGATTTGGCAAATCAAAAAGTAAAGAAGTTAATGAGGGCAGACAAACAAGCTTTCATGGAGGACCTTGCAACAAAAGCTGAAGATGAAGCTCATCAAGGGGAGCAAGGAAACATGTCCAGAATCACCAAACTTGTTTGTGGCAAGTATCGTGGCAGGACAAGTGCCCCCATTAAGGACAAACACAGGCAGTTACTATCAACAGAGAAAGATCAAGAAGCACGCTGGACAGAACATTTCAGAGAGGTTCTGAATAGACTACCACTTGAAGAAGCAGCGGACATTCAGGAAACTGAGGAGGAACTGGATATTAATATTGATCCACCAGAGAAAGAAGAAATCAGTGCAGCCATCAGATCCCTGAAAAATGGCAAAAATCCAGGACCTGACAACCTGGACACGGAGTTGTTTAAAGCAGACACAGAAGTTTCAGCCACCATTCTCCAACCACTGTTTGTAGCAATTTGGGAAGGACAACAAATACCCAAGGACTGGACCAAAGGAGTCATCATCAAGATTCCTAAGAAAGGAGCACTCAGCGACTGCAACAATTGGCGCGGGATCACCCTTCTATCTGCACCCAGCAAGATCCTAGCCAAGGTCATCATCCAGCGGATCTCAGATGCTGTTAACAAGTCTCTGAGGAAAGAACAAGCCGGATTTCACAAGGGAAGAGGATGTATAGACCAGATTTTCACCCTGAGAAACATCATAGAGCAGTGCACAGAGTGGCGGAGACATTTGTACATTAACTTTGTTGAATTTGAGAAGGCTCTTGACAGCATACACAGAGAAAGCCTTTGGTGCATTCTGAGAGCCTACAGAATCCCTCTATAAGTGGTCCAGCTCATTAAGAGTTTTTACAGCAACTTCACATGTAGCGTGGGATACTGCGATCTGTCTTTCAAAGTCAAGACTGGGGTCAGACAAGGATGCACTACTCTTCAATGTGGTGATCCACTGGGTGATGCGGAGAACAACAGCAGATGCGTCAAGGGGTAGCAGATGGACACCTTTTTCCACATTGGAAGTCCCTGACTTTGCGGATGACCTTGAGTTGCTTTCCAGTACCCATGAACACATTCAGGAAAAGACACAATGGCTATGCACCTTTGGATGCCAGGTTGGACTAAGAGTTAGCCAGAAGAAAATAGAGATTATGATTCTCAATATAGATTCGCCAGCACCAATCAAGATAGATGATGCAGACTTACCCAGCACAGACAGCTTTATGTACTTAGGCAACATCATCCGCCATGATGGAGGCACCAAGAATGACATCCAGAGCAGACTAAGCAAGGCGAGAAATGGCCTCAAGAGTATGAACAAGGTATGGAGATCTACACAGTACAGTGTCCTCATCAAGCTTAAGCAGTACCAGAGCTGCGTCATATCAACACTATTATACGGCTCAGAGTGCTGGCGGATGACAGAGTGCGACCGTGCCAAGCTCTCATCCTTTCATACCACCAGCCTTCATAAGATACTTAGCATTTTTTGCTGAAAACAATCTCCAACCATGACCTGCTTCTGCAATGCCACCAGGAGGACTTGACCACTATCATTATGAGAAGATGCTGGAGATGGATAGGGCATGTGATGAGAAGGGAGGCAGACGCCATTGTAAAGGTAGCACTTCACTGGATGCCTGAAGGACGACGGAAACGTGGAAGGCCCACGACTACATGGCGGCGTACTGTTGAGGCAGATATGAAGAGAATGAACTACAACTGGGACACACTGGAGAAAATGGCCAAAGACAAACAAAAATGGAGAATCTTCATTGCTGCCCTACACGCCAGCGAGCATAATAGGCATTAACTAACTAATACTTCTTAACAGTACATATGAAAATTGGCCTTACATCAGATAGCGGGGTTTATATAACTACATATAAGTCACCACATTCAACTAAGAAAGCAATGAACCTGAAGAGCAATACAGGGTTTTTACTTAGAATCATAGAACAGAACTGGAAGGGACTAGTCTCCTGCCCTCATGGCAGGACCAGGCACCATCTAGACTAAGGATGTTAAAATGCCATTATCTGGCCAATGGTATAGTCGACACAATTTGTATCGGCCATACGACTAGTTGACAACCATTGCTGTGCAGAGTCACAGCGGAGGTAGAGCTGGGAATAAGCAGTCCTGGCTCGTGCCAGCTTCGGCGTCACCTGCGCTGTGGCGCTGCATTTCAAATGCAGTAGGAGCTGCTGGGCTCTTACTACATCTAAAATGCAGAGGCACAGAGATCAGCACCAGCCAGGCCTCCTCTGTCCTAGCCTGCACTGAGTACAGCAGCCCCTTTGGCTCCTATCAACTCTGCCTTCTTTAATGGTAAATTAATGGAGCCCACAAAAAGATAAATCCCTATAAGCCATCCCAACTGCCATACATTCAAGAGCAAATCATTTTATAATTTGCCTAAAAACCCTGTAAAGCACCATGTTCACATACTTATCTACCAACTCACTATTTGGCTTAAATTATTCACTTTATCCACAAGTACATAGATGCGAACTATTTATGGGTCATATGTTATTGTTGTGTGAACTATAATTTCTTTCTTCATTGGGGAAGCAAATAAGCGTTACATGCTACAGATCCTTCCCTAAGGCTGATGAAATACACTTTCCTTAAGGCAAAAGAGACTAAAAAAATAGTTTAAATATGTCAGGATTTGTTGCAATGTGACATTCATCTAAAATTTATATTTTCTATCTTTGGAAATTTGACATTTGCTTATGCTTCATTTTCTCTCCATAATTCTTTGGTCTAAAATCTACTGTAACCAGTGTAATTTCAAATCTTCAAAGGGATCATTAACTTTAAAAAGTTATATAATTACCCTTTTGAATTCCATACCGGTCTCCCATTGTTTAATCCAATTAATTAAAGGATAAGCATAATTCTAACAACATTTAATGGCTCCAGTCACAAAGAATCATTATTGTGACATCAAATTTTAGAGACAAAGAAGAACTTCCACTGATTACAATGATGTTCTCCTGATCAAACACAGATAGTAATCAACACAGGAGTAGCATAATAGTCAACAGTAAACATGTATCACATATAAATGGGATTAGCTGGCACCCATTTATATCTGGATATTTAAAAAATGGACTCAGGAATAAGGATTTCACTTGGGTTTGGAGTACATTCCAATGAGTAATTCAACAAGCAAGGTATTTCCCTCCTCCTCTCCCCAAGAGAAGTCTGTGCTACTATTTTAAACAGACTCAATAAAAATGGATGAACTCTGAAATTTTCAGGTAGTTTAATACCTTTAATCTGCACTGAATGCCTCATTCTGTTTAGCTCTCCCAAATCCCAGGACTGAATACAGCAAGTGTAGAAAATGAAAGCTCATCTAACCCCAGGTGCAAATCTGTAACCACTCTTGAATGGAACAGGACGAGATGGTGTAAACAGATGCTATTCTTTAAGTGTAAGTTTACTGAGGAACATGGCAATACAGGATGAAAGCAAGACAAGTTATAGGGTAATAAGCCTTCAACAGCTGGGCATCAGGATTTCCTTACTACAGACAAGACTCCTTTGGTGGCAGCTACAGAAACAGGTGGCAATCCTAACAGAAGTTTATACACATTTGAAATGATCAAGTTACATGATGATCAATTCTGAAATGAAAAATTATTCTGCCATGAGCTTGCTATATCATGGGGGAAGATCCTCTGCTGGTCTAAACTGACAATTTAGATCAGCGTAGGAATGTCACCCATGAATTTGAGCTTCCGCTATTTGCTTCACAGGTTAGAGAAGACTTAAAGGACTTAAGGGCACTGTGTAGGGTAATATATTGCTTTCAACACCCATATAAAATATAGGCTATAACTTTAATGCACTAATTTATGAATTCGATACAAGGCACTTACAGGCAGCCAAAGTTTGTGTACATTTGCTGCTTTGTTGAAGGCAGAAAGTGTCACTACAGCAGAGAATGCTTAACCATGACACTAATTTAGTATGAAGGGTTGAGGTAATTAAACACAGGTATTAGGGTGCTGGGCAACTGATCTTAAGTGGGTCATAAGAGTGCTGTTTTGTTTTGCTTTTTGACATAACACTTCTAGTGTACATGTTCTATAGATCCCATCTTAAGACTGAAACACCAAAAAAAGGTTGGCACTCAGCAAATAATGGTGTTACTGTGCCTGTATTGGTCAAATATCTTCAATAAATGCATTTGACTGAGTTTCCTTTTGTTCAGTTCATAGTAAGCAGGGTGGGGCGATTTCCTTAAATAACAATTATTTGATGAACAGATGCATACAATAATATCAGTAAAAATAATGCTTTAAAAATCATGGTTTTACAATGAACATTTTAAAAAGCCAGAAAGCTCCTATTATATGCTGCATGTTATGTGTGAGACATAACCATAGTCTTGATGTGCTCAGCAATATGGGAACCATCTCTTTAAAGTAGAACCTGTTGTAGTCCAAAGAGTAACACTGTTTATGTTCCCATATCGAAGTTAAACATGGGTGATGGAGTAGTTGTTATCTGCGTCCTAGAAACCCTGATTGTCTGTTGGCCACTCTTAAGCAAGATGCACAACAAGCTGTCTTGTAATAGGTATAGACACAGAGCCGGGCCTGTACCACCACATTGCAGTTGTAGTATTTGTCTTTGCAATTTTCATCTGGGGGAAAAAAAAGAGAATTACAGACCTTTATGAGTCAGAAAGATTAAGTTATCACAACAGATTAAGGTAGATTGCAAATTTATTTTTAAAGGTTCAGGTGAAAAAAAGCATTTATTTAAAAATAGCCTACTGATGTACGTAAGTTAGATTATTAAAACTACAAGAGATTTTTAAAATTAGAAAAAATTAGAAAAATGTGCATGTTTTAAAAATCTACTTTACTTTTAATGATTTAGGGTTGCTTTTTACACTTACTTTGCCTTGAATAATGAAAATAGACAGTATTTATAGTCAGGTGTGTGTCATTTTCACTTTGCGGCATGGTATTTATGGTATTACCTGAGAATCAGAGTGGTTAGATGGCTAATGCTTCAGGGGGATATTAACAGTAATGCCAACCTCCAAGCACTGAAAGGTTATGTGTCAGGCTTCCCACAATCACAAGACTATGATTTGAGACTTTTAAAAATAATAAATGTTGGGTTTACACTTTTGCCTTTTGGGTTCTGAGCTGCAAGGATGCATTCCACTCACATTTAAAAACTCTTAGGGCTAGAAACGTGCCTTTTTGATGAAAACCGATAGATTCTTATATAATCACATAACTCCAGAAGCAGGAGTATTAAGAAAAAGATCAAACAGCACAAGACACACAATAAAATCATTAGACTTGTCGGTATTAATTTGTTTTAAACAAAACTGCTTCCACTGGGGAACAACAACTATATCAGTCTTAGGCCACAAAATCATTACAAAAATTTAAATTTATGAACAAATTTGACCTGAAAGTTGATGCAGAACCGAATGAGGAGAATGAGGTTGAAACTGATTCTCCTCTTCTCTAGCAATTCTAATTAGTAAAAAAAATTAATACATAAAAGTTATGAAAAAATCCATGACAGTATCAAATTCATGCTAGCATGTTATATTTTTGTTAACAGATTTAATGAAAGAAATTTGACTCTGCCTTGATATCTAAGGTTGATATTTTAAAAATCAAGAAAAAAAATGAAATTCAGAAATTATTTTGGGGAAGTTCCATGGCCAGTATCATAAAGGAAGTCAGACCAGATACTTACAATAGTCTCTTCTGGCCTGGGGTCTATTAATGTATGCAGCTGCACCAGGAAGTTCACAATAAAGAAAATCCCTTTTGTATGCATAGTTCCTTGTAAAAGGTATTAGAACACATAGAATACTGTACATGCTCCGCCTTTCTGGGTATTACTGCTAAAGCAGTAAGAACTCACCAAAGCAAACATTTCAAACTAGAATGAATTTTCATAAAATACCTGCTAAAATTACTCTAAATGTGCCATTTTAGCAGATCCAAAAATCTCTCTTGCTCTCTGGAATTTCAAAGAGAAATCCATTTCTGATAGAGTTCAAAGAAAATGTTTTAATCAGGAAACTCCAAAAGCTTGGCTTTGGATTGTGGGGAGATATGACTACTCTCTATAATACATCAGGAAGGGAGAGGAGTAATTTAAGTTGTGTGCCAATGTGGACGCAAGAACAAATATAAACTAGCCATCAACAAGTTTAGGCTTAGAAAAAAGTTTCAGAAGAGTGAAGGTCTGGATGGCTTTCAAAGGAGAACAAAGTTGGGGTGGGGGGGGGGGCAAAACTGGCTTCCAGAATGAGCTTGATAAGTTTATGGAGGGAATGTTATGTTAAGTCTGCCTACAATGGCACATAGTCAATCTGCGACTATTAACAGCAAAAATTTCCAATAGCCGGTGATGGGACACTAGATGGGGAAGGCTCTGAATGACTACAGCAAATTCTTTTGTGGTATCTGCCTGGTGAGTCTTGTCACATGCCCAAGGTCTAACTGATCACCATACTTGGGTTTGAAAAGGAATTTTCTACAGGGTCAGCCTGGCAGAGACCCTGGGGATTTTTTATTTTCCTCTGCAGCATGGGTCACCTGAAGATCTAAATGATTCTCTGTAAGTTAGAAGTCTTTAAATCACGATTTGAGGACTTCATTAACTCAGCTTTTATGGCCTGCTATGCGCAGAGGGTTAGGCTAGATGACCATGATGATCTCTTCTGGCCTTAAAGTCTATGACAACTTACTGTACCTTTTTCAAAAGACAATCTTGTTTTGTTTTAAAATTGCAACAGAAAATAATCACAGAATCCAGCCTATATAGGACTGTTAAATATTTTCTCCACTAGATGGTGTTCCACAGTCATGACTGTCACATTTTCCTGTCTCCTTACCTATTTCTGGCATACAATCCTGAGTGTTACAAAGTTCCTTTTCTTCTGGTTTAAGCTGTGGCTCACATTGGTTACTGGGTGTCAGGTCATCTGACAGACATCGCACTTCTCGAACCCGGAATCCTCCTTCACAGGATTTGGAACACTAAAAGCAAATGAATTAAAATTCAGGAAGGCAATAACATTGTACTAGGAAACTTATGCAGAGAAAGGGGGCATATGGTCTTATCCAAAGATTCCTGACCTCTTTCCATTGACTCCAGTAGCACTGGGATGCTTAAAATGCTGACTAAGAAATTATGAGAGTCATTTCCTGTAAAGGCACAAAAAAAATCCCTGCCCTCATGATGAGCAGGACAAGACTCTGTCTGGGAGAAATCACATCCATTGAAATATTCTCACAGAACCCCCTTCTGGAATATATAATCAACCATCCTGCTAGCTAGTATCACTGGAACAAAGTTATTTTGCCTTGAATAATGAAAATAGACAGTATTTATAGTCAGGTGTGTGTCATTTTCACTTTGCGGCATGGTATTTATGGTATTACCTGAGAATCAGAGTGGTTAGATGGCTAATGCTTCAGGGGGATATTAACAGTAATGCCAACCTCCAAGCACTGAAAAGTTATGTGTCAGGCTTCCCACAATCACCAGACTATGATTTGAGATTTTTAAAAATAATAAATTTTGGGTTTATATTTTTGCCTTTTGGGGTCTGAGCTGCTAGGATGAATTCCACTCACATTTAAAAACTCCCTGATCCCAGGGCTTCATAGCTGCCCCAAGCAGTGACCCCTGCCTGGGGCAGTGAGGAGCATGGTTGGGATAAAGCAGAGGGCGCCCCCCTGCACCCTCTGGAGTCTGTCTTGTCACCCAGAAAAACTGGATTTAAACAAAAAAAAATCACATCACATCAGGTTGTTCCTAGTCCCAGATCAATTGGTACTCTAATCTTACCCAAAGACAATGCTAGTAGCCAATACTATAGTAAACTAACAGAAGGTTTATTGTCCCAGACGGGTATATATGTGATAAATCCCTTCAAGTGTCAGCAATGCCCCTTTGTCCAATTTGGATAATATATAGGCTGGACACAAATCAGACATCAGGAATGGTAACGCACATAAATCTGTAGGGGAACATTTTAATCTCCCTGGACATTCAATAATGGATTTAAAAGAAGCCATTCTTCTACAAAATAATTTTATCACCCAATTACAGAGGGAGACAGCTGAACTGGAATCACAAAATCACCGAATACTAGAACTGGAAGAGACCTCGAGAGGTAATCAAGTCTAGTCCCCTGCCCTCATGGCAGGACCAAGCACCATCTAGATTATCCCTGACAGATGTCAATACAACCTGCTCTTAAATATCTCTAGTGATGGAGATTCCACAACATCCCTAGGCAATTTATTCCAGTGTCTAACCACCCTGACAGTTAGGAAGTTTTTCCTAATGTCCAACATAAACCTCCCTTGCTGCAATTTAATCCCATTGCTTCTTGTCCCATCATCAGAGACCAAAGAGAACACTTTTTCTCCCTCCTCCTTGTAAAACCCTTTAAATACTTGAGAACTGCTATCATGTCCCCGCTCAGTCTTCTCTTTTCCAATCTAAAAAAGCCCAATTGTTTCAGTCTTCCCTCATAAATCATGTTTTCTAGACCTTTAATAATTTTTGTTGCTCTTCTCCGGACCTTCTCCAATTTCTCCACATCTTTCTTGAAGTGTGGTACCCAGAACTGGAAACAATATTGCAACTGAGGCCTGATAATTTACAAATTCATTTTTAGAAGTTTGACACTTATCAACTTGGGCTCAAATAAAGATATTAACTCGGGGTAAGCAATAAAACAGCAGCAGTTCACCAGGGTTAGCTCCTGGTGGGCCGCGACAACTGTATTTTCCTGAGCCTCCACAGGCATGGGCAAAGACAGCTCCCATTGCCCAGGAATGGCAGTCCACGGCCGCTAGGAGCTGTGGGTCCCCCATATCGCTGGAGGTGCAGGTAAATAATGGCAGTGTAGGAGCCCATCGGGGCTAACACTAGTGGACCAGTTCCAGCCCATGAACCCGTATTTGCCCATCCCTGTATTAACTGGTTAATGCACTACAAAGGCAATTTTCCCCACCTTTGATATTTGCATTTCCACAGCAAATGCTATAAAGGTTTGTTAGTTAAGAAAAGGAAGTAAGAATTATGGCGTGGTTAAAGCAGGCAAAATATATGGAGACCTGAGTCACAGTGTGTAATTTCATGTACTGACAGTGATGTAATATACTGCCAGTTTCCCCAAAATATTTTCAGAATTCTCAGATTGCACCTGGGGATGTCCACTTTGCATCTGGTACACATCTCTGTCAGAATCCAAACAATCCAAAGATGACAGGTCTTTCCCCCATCCTTCTACAGAAAATAATTCAATAGGATCACTACCCATATGGGCTTTTCCTTTGATGAAGGAGAATGAGGAACCCATTTTGAATCTTTGAACTCTGATCATCAAAATGACCTCTTGCTTCAATATGACCATTTTTCTGCTAAAGTACTTCATCTGCATTCCACAAGGCTTCTTTCTCCTTTGATTACTGAAAGAGCTTACACAATGTATATGTATATTATTTCATTATACTAGGATACAGACAAGCAAAAACAATGCAAGTAACATCCCATTAGTTTTCATGAAGTTTAAACACCAACTACGCTCCTATACTTTAACAATTACTTGGCTTTATACTAATACACAGGTGAATTCGTCTGGGTCTTTGGCACAAGATGGCATGTGGTCTGCCAGCATCACTGTGGGAAAAAGAGGGAATGTTTGGGAGAGAACTTTCAGTTCCTAATCCCCAAATGCACTACATTTTCATATGGCAACTATAACTTACTCCAATGCCCTTTTGATCAACACATACACACAACTTTTTAAAACAAAATACGGCCTGCATGAAATGTATGCAATTGATAGACCAGGAGTCTTTAATTCACCCCCTATCTACAGAAAAGATTCTGCAAAAACAAAATCACATTTTCTCAATAGGAGAAAAATATTTATGGATACCATAAACATGCTGCAATATGAAATGTATGTGCATCATGCTTGATTGTAACAAACAGTTCTTGCACTGCAGAACAACATGGGAGAATGTTGGAAATGAAAAAGAAAGGGAGGGCAGATGGTACAATAGCAGCTGAGTCTTTATAGCTCAATGGCAGATGTAGCAAGCTGTAATTTCAGGAAAGGTTGCAGACCTACTTGTCATGTCTCTAAGGTCAGCCCAAGGGAGCAGTAAATATCATACATCCTCCCACATACCACGCGGCAGAACTGTAGGGACAGAATTCTCTTCTGTGTCCTTTCTACTTCCTGGATCATCCTACTCCGCATAACCACTGAGGTGCTGCTTCATTTTGGGAGCCAAGAGGACTTCACCAAGTTCAGATTCACTGAGTCTAAAGTGAGTACCATTCTATCGACTGTGGTGCAGCTGTGCCAGGGCAGACATGGGCTGAATTTGGCCCTAAGAGAAGTTATCACATTCAGATCACAGATTTACAGTGTGACTTATTACTGTCGCAGCACTTGCTTGTATGCTTGCACATACCGCTTCTAATTGCTAATAGTTCTGCTCTGGTTCCTGGAAACTGTAAATCAGAAACAGAAAGAGCACTTTCAGGTATTCTGGAGACCTCCCTAAGAGGATTAAGTGTTTTAAACAAAGCAGCCAGTATCTTCACAAAGGCCTTTAAAAATTCCAGTCTTTGATAGTGGTTTCTGGAAACTGAATTAGAAACGTTATGTGGGTGTTATTACCTTAAACTCCTTTTAGCAGAGGAAAGTGCATTGGGGACTGCTATGTATCCCTCGACCATTAAATGAAAAAAAAACATCTAATCAGAGAAAAGCCAAAATAGGCACAAAAGTAGTACCGATAAATGGTAAAGGAGCCAAATCTAATTTATCTATTGTAATGGATAAATTCTACTTTCAACCAGAAGTTATGCCTCTTCACTCCATTAAAAAAATAAAACTTAAATTAGATCAAATTGACTGTGAGTTGAACACTGATGTAGAACAAGGCTACTCAACACACAGCCCACGGGCTGCATGTGGCCTGTGGCCTGTTTGTTTGCGGTCTATGGTGCCATTTGGGTTTAAGTAGGGCTCAATTCATGGCCTGCGGGTGGGGATCCTTTGAACATGGCCTCCACTGTAAACATGCTCCACAATGGTGAGGCATCTCTCAGACAGGGTGAGCACTGAAAGACGCAAGCAGATGGGCTGGCTGGAACAGACAGGTACAGGGTGTCGGCATTTTTAGCCCCTAGGGATAGGGTTGCCAGGTGTCCAGTATTGTACCTGACAGTCCGGTATTTACACTCTCTGTCTGGTAAAAAAAATCAGAAAATACCAGACAAGTGCAATGTCTGGTATTTTCTGATTTTTCCGGCTGCGCACCGGATGGAAGCCTGGTGGGAGTGGCTGGGAGTCCCAGCTAGGAGGCGGGGCCGCGATTGCTGCCGGGCGCCCTCAATTGGTTGAGCGTGAGGAGGAGGGGAAGCCTCCTCTTCACTCATGTGTTGTCAGGAGCCTGCATAGGACAGGCAGCAAGTACTCAGGTCAGTCCCGCTCTCTGCCGGCTGATTTGCTCACTCCCCCCGCTCCTTCCCGGTCGGCTGGTTCTCCCCCACTT